GTGTGTGTGTGTGTGTGTGTGTGTGTGTGTGTGTGTGTGTGTGTGTGTGTGTATGTGTGTGTGTGTGTGGGGGGGGGGGAAGAGGGTACGTCGGGGGGTTCTCTAGATATCGTTTACGTTCTAAATTTCAGAGTTTGCCGCGGGAGATGCTCGCGCTCGGAGCCGCATAACGACGGCATAATTACGCCGCGTGGGCGTTAAAGTGATACCGCGCTGCTGAAGCCTAGCTTACACTGCTGCTCGGCCCTCCGGCATCGGCCGAGACGCACCCGGCTAAGTGGTCAACATATGTGCGCGCACGCGTAGCGATGGCGGAAAAATCATGAAAATGTGATGATTAAAATGTGGAAAATAGAAGGGGTTGGTTAACGTGGTGTTGCATTACCTTTTCAACACACACCCATCACCACCCCAACATTAACCCATCACCTCCCCAACATACACCCATCACCTCCCCAACATTAACCCATCACCTCCCCAACATTAACCCATCACCTCCCCAACATACACCCATCACCTCCCCAACATTAACCCATCACCTCCCCAACACACACCCATCACCTCCCCAACACACACCCATCACCTCCCCAACACACACCCATCACCTCACCCAACTTTCAACTACCTCCCAACCACACCCCTCCTCCCACACACACCCATCACCTCCCGCCGCACACACACGCCATGCACCTCCCAACCCACCATCCTTCCCCAACACACAGCCCATACTCTCCAGACATCACACCGCATCGAAACCTCCCCACGACACCATCCCATCACCTCTCAACACACAGCCATCACCCCCCACATTTACCCATCATCCCAGCATTACCGCTATCACCCTCCCAACACACCCCTCACACTCTCCAACACACCCGATCACGCTCCCCAACACACACCCATCACTTCCAACATACCCCTCCACCTGCCCAACCACACACCATCACCTCCCCAACCCACCTCTACCTCCCCAACACACCCATCACCTCTGCCACACACACCCTCACTTCTCCCCAACACCACCCAATCACTCTCCACAGACACCATCACCTCCCAGACACACAGCCATTCACCTCCCCACCGACACTACCCAGTCACCCTCGCCCACATTCACCATCACTTGCCCCAATCACCCATCACCCAACACGACACCGAATCACCTCCAACTCCATCACTTCCCCAACACACACCCATCAGCCTCTCCAACACAGCCCCATCACTCTCCCAACACACAACCATCACCTCCCCAACACACACCCATCACCTCCCCAACCCCCATCACCTGCGCAACACACACCCTCACCTCCCCAACATTAACCATACTCCCCAACAGTACCCCATCACTCCAACACACACCACTCACTCATTTCCCCACATACACCATCCCTCCCCAACCCAGCAATCACTCCCCAACATGCACACCCATCAGCGCTCTACCAAACACACCACCCATCACCTCCCCGAAATTTAACCCATCACCTCGCCAACACTTACACCATCACTCCCCAACACACGACCCATCACTCGCCCAAACACACCCATCACCTCCCCCAACACACACCCATCACCTCCCCAACACACACCCATCACCTCTCCAACACACACCCATCACCTCCCCAACATACACCCATCACCTCCCCAACATACACCCATCACCTCCCCAACATATACCCATCACCTACCCAACATTAACCTATTACCTTCCCAACATAAACCCCTCACCTGCCTAACACCTCCACAACAAACAATCGTTCCGTCTGAATATTGTTGACAAAATTCCAGCACCGTGATCTGCCGAATAGAAAACTATATAACAAAAAACCAAAATAATCGAAAAGGATTCCTAAGCGTAACCCCGTAACCTCATAAAGATTAATCTTATAATAATTATAGTAAGTCCAAGAGACCGTACCGAAGGAGAGAGCCAGAGTTGATCAAATTGATAGGTCACTTTCAACAGTGCGGATTGCAGTAGAAAAAGCTTTCAATTTTCCTATTAGCTAGAAAAAAACGAGAATTCCAACATGAATCCCAGCATGGAATAACAGAAAAATAACAAGCTAAATTTGAACGGATCTTTCGATGACGAGAAATCGCGAGAGCAGTGATTAGGCTCAGATGATCGGTTACAAAGAATGGGCTTCATAAAACAAGAAGGGATACCCGAATTCACATGACCATGGTAAATATTGTGTAAGATTATAAGTAAAAGGCTGATACGAAGAGGGAGCCAATTAAGCTGAGCAAAAGCAGCCCCGGAAATATCATGATAGTTTTTAGATACCAATCTGGCAGCTTTATATGCTGTATGAAATCTAGTTTAGCAAAATGTGAATCCATGGAATCCAATGTGTCATACCTTTTGTGTGTTTATCCTTGGCTGCATATTTTATTTATATTCTTAATATTTGATAATTACTTAAATTAACACATAAAATCAAATCAAATAAAAGCAAATATGAATCGTGCCCATTGGGTTTCTTCGCAGATATCCGGCATATATAACACGAAGGTCAGGTTATGAATGTAATTACCATCGGATATAACCGAAAATTAACCGCATTGTTTTACCCGAAACCCGTTCTAAACGTAATCATGATTTGAGAGATTACCAGTCCGCTATATACACGTACGCGCATATTTATCTTACGCTATTCAAATATCCAGCACTATTATTTTACCAAATAGATCAAGAAATCAAAGTATTATATAAATTAATTTAAAAGCTAATATCCTGTTCAGCTATGTGGCGGTCATGGACGTGCTATACGTGACATAACACATCAAGGGGAATGTTCGCCCTAACGTCGTTATATAGAAATCCGCACAAATAGCACTCCGGCTTTATGGAAATTCGGATTGGTTTTCTCCATAATCGTGTCACGGTAGCCATAAAACGCGTATGGCACAAAATTACACTCCTTCATGAAATCAGTGAACGGAATCGGTGAACGAACCTGCTGCTTGACCTACAGATGCCGCATATACACGTAGCAACACAGTTTATGTTGAAATTGCGATCGATACGTTATTATAACACGAACACATCGATTCACATCGATATTTCTCGCGTGTAGATTTGCAGCATGTCTAAAATCCTAGGTATAGTTAGCACGCAAAGAGAGGCTATATACGTGTATAAAAACACTTCCGTTGCTTTGTAGACGCGCTAGATAATAGTAAGGCGTAGAGATAAATATATATAAGTCATGTTGCATGGTTGTGGTATATGTCTGCATGGTGTAGGACTGATTGGACTGATTACAAGCTGCATAACCATTAACCAAG